CGCAGGCTATACAACGGGCATCCCTATCACTTTTATATGGGAGTTTTCCCCCATTCCCCCCCCCCCGGCCATCATTGGCCGCAAAATAAGAGTTAGACTTGCTCACAAGTCCGGCTTTTGAGCACGTAGCGCGACAGTGAGCGCGTAGCGCAAGCGAGCGAGCGAAAGCTTGTGCCGGGTCCTACCACACCAGACCAGAAAACCATGTGAACGACTTTGAGAAAGTCTAAATAAGAGTTAAAGAAGATCATCACATTGATAGACTCACCCAACTTTTGCCTATAAAAAAAGTTAAGTCAGACTTTATTCCACACATCCCTTCTTTCAGTTTGTTTATTTATCCTGTGTTTCACATTAGGATGACAGCAATACTTAAAGATTATTAGTCAAGGGGGTTGTCGGGAATTGTACCTGGAATACTCCACAGATTATCTCTCACTGCTGCTTGTTTCCCACTCTGATCAAGTCCATCTAATACTTCGAGTGCTTTCAAAGCTCTGAGTATGCTTGATCTGTAACCTGGTATCTCACAGACAGGGTTAGCTTCTCCATACTGCGACAATGCCAGTTCTTTAAGCATTTTACAACCAATTAGCGAGTCGATTACATGATCCAGAGAGCTGAGCTGGTTTCCTTGGAGATAAAGGGTTTGCAAACTAAACCCAGGTCCATGAAGCTTTGTCAAACCTGAGAGATTATTAATTGCATTGTAGGACAGATCAACCTTGGTTAGATTCCTGAAAAATACAACAAAGTAAAAAACAGTCAAGTCTTTTTGCATCAATTTGAAAAACATACCTAAAACTTTGGTTTTCTTGCGCTTTTCAAAAACACTCTAACTCTGAAGTTCACAAGCCAACTGACATTTGCATTTTTCACTGCCGTCAATCATCTTCACGGACCTCTTAGAAAACAGAACTTTACTTACATGGGTTCAAAAGGTCATGGTTTATGACCTGTAATTGGTGGATTTCGATACGTTTTGTGTGTTTCTGTGTTTCAAGGTTTGTTGCTTGTGATCCTAATCATGATTGACAGCAGCGAAAAACGCAATTGTGAAGGCGGCTTTTGAACTTTAGAGTGCGCATGTTTGTGAAAAGCGCAGTAAGCCATGCTGTTATAGTTATATAGGTATGTTTAAGTTTGAGCCAACACTTTTAAGTCTGAGATTATCGGATATCCCCATGGGAGGTCAATGGAGATACAGATGCACTGCATTTATTTCCCTGTCTGTTGGATTCTTCTTGTGCTGGATTTGTTCCAACTGACGCAGCCCGATGTGCATGGATGTTACCTTGGCTTTAAAGTGTACAACTCAAGACTGCCGCAAACAAAATCAAATAGCAGTCAGGGTGGGACTTGAGCTTGGGAGTCCAACTTTCCACCCACTAGGCCGCGCTGCCTCCAACAAAAACCTTTCCCCGAAACCTGACAAAAAATCTTCCCGAAACCTAGCATACATGTACAGTGAAACCCATTTAATATGGACACCAAGAGGACATGCCATAGCGTCTCCATTAACCAGGTATTCGTTTTAAGTAGGTTCATTTTAGAGAAAAATACATGAGCTTGTTTCCGTCAGGACAAAAGAAACTGTTCACTACATATGGGTGTCCATAAAGCAGAGTTCCACTGCACCAACTTAGACAGACTGATCAGTACCTTAAATTTTCGAGACCTTCTACAATCAGCAACTCATTGCAGGATAAGTTGAGCGTTACCAAGCTCTTCAAACCATTAAGTCCTTGTATTCTTTTAATGTGANAGCGTCTCCATTAACCAGGTATTCGTTTTAAGTAGGTTCATTTTAGAGAAAAATACATGAGCTTGTTTCCGTCAGGACAAAAGAAACTGTTCACTACATATGGGTGTCCATAAAGCAGAGTTCCACTGCACCAACTTAGACAGACTGATCAGTACCTTAAATTTTCGAGACCTTCTACAATCAGCAACTCATTGCAGGATAAGTTGAGCGTTACCAAGCTCTTCAAACCATTAAGTCCTTGTATTCTTTTAATGTGATTGGATGACAGATCCAAATGTTTAAGGTTCTTAAGTCCATCGAGGTTTTCTATTTCTGAGATGTTATTACAATGCAGATTTATGGAAATCAATCCAGGATGAAGATGAACATCAAACAGGCTACTAATCTGCGCGTCAATATAACAGATCTCTTTTGGAAACGTGCGGGAAACGACATCATAGCTGCCTCGTTCGTTGACATCTTCAGTCGCCATGGCCCATTTATACTGTTACAATTATGATTCGAGTTGGTAAACTCGGGAGAGACTTCTCCTCGATTTCGTCCATTTCAACAGCAGATGCGCGCTTTTTCCACTCTCTTTTTGTTTATCATTATCTTCATATCACACACACTCTGCTTAGCATCGACTCAACCAAAGTGGAGACGAAGGTCTGTCGATACTCACAATCTCCAAAGGCATTTATAATAGTCTGATTCCCGATTCCCCTGGCTGTTTTCAAAATGGCGCCTAATAGAAGTGTCCGCTGGTCAAAGTTCTCATACTTGCTGCATCATCAATGACGTAATTTTCCCAAAAATGCGTAATTTTTGGAAGCTGACGGTATTGTGCCCACGGTGATACCCCAGCGGATTTCCAAAGTAACACTATTTTGGCAGCCATATTTAGTTCCTGCCGTTCTCGGAGAGACTTTCTCTCCATTTCTTGGAGTTTTTTTGGACTGGTTTGCCCTGATTGCGGCTATGTCTGGAGATACGCTTAAGGTAATATTTTCCTTTCCCCTTGAAGAGTATTCTTTTTCGGAAAGAACTTCTTTTAACGTTCTCTTATGATAAGAAAAAAAGCTTACTCAAATTGATAAGTTTCCTGCGAAATGGTTTCCAACTTTAATCTTGTGTTTGTGTTTTATAGAAAGCGATTGAAATTGTCACAAAAGCTACAGAGGAAGATAAAGCTGGAAATTACGAGGAAGCGTTACGTCTTTATGAGCATGGAGTAGAATACTTTCTGCATGCGATAAAATGTAAGAGTTTTGTTACCTGGCATGATTTAAAGTTGGAAGCAAAATATTTGTGTACGTTCACATCAAGCCCTTGTGCTGTGTTTTGCCTGTTTTGTACTTGATTACTGTTGTTGATAGTGTTTATTTGTTTGTGTTTGTGCTGAATGATACGAAACAGTCTTGATCAACTTTATTCAGCACAGTATTTTAGATCAGTAGTTTTCGTCTTAATTATACTGCCGGGGTAAAAACATTGATTTAGTCCAATGACAAATAAATCCCACCTTTTTCTCCCAATTTTGCTCAACCAAGTGCCATTTCTTATTATTTAACAATTTTGATTTATTTATTTGCACCAACTTCACTTATATGGTACCTTAACAGCAGGTACAAGGATTGGTCACTTCCCAGTCAAAAGTGTCAGCTACCCTAAGCAAAATCTGTGAAGCCGTCCAAGGAGTAAAAGCAACATGTTTCCTGGCCTTGAAAACTGGCAACAATCTTCTCAGAAATCACTGTCAATCAACACAAAAAGGGGAAGAATTGTGACGTGACAATCCATTTTTAAGTAGTGAAAGTGACATCTTTTCACTTTTTCAATTTGGCTGTTCTGGCAGTGAATTAACAAACTCTCTTCTATTATTTCAAAACTTTTTTGTTGTTTTCTTTGGAACTTTTTCTAATATTTATTATTATGTTATTGTTCAAGAATGCTCCCTCAAGGGAGAAAGGTCAATAACAATTTATTCCTTCCAGGTGCTACATCTGCTGTAATTTCCAAAAAAAATTGAGTATCACAAAATTTTATGCTGAACCAACAGCAACATTTTGTTCCTAGCTAAAATTTAACAGGAACATTTTTTCTAACCTACTTAGCAACAGGCAGTGTCAGAAATTACCGACAAAGCGACTGTATCTGGCAGCCTTAGATCTTAGTGACAGCCTTGATAATCATGTCTCACAGCTTATTACTAATAGGCCCAAAGCAATGCATCAACAAAGAACAAAATAAAAAAAAATTAATGCAACACCAAACATGGCCATTTTCTAATGTCATTGTTGGTTTGTGTTATTAAAGTTCATTTTCCTTGAGTAATTTGGTAAAAGGCATGTTAATGTTTTATTGGTTTTACACTTAGCGTAGATGTTGTGGTTCAATTTTATCCTTGGTTTAAATTTTATTTTCCTTTGTTCCAAACTCATCATCATAGATAAACATACCCAAAAAAAGAAGAAAAATAAAATTTAAAGCAAGGATAAAATTGAACCACAGCATTGATATTAGGCCCTTCCACAGTGTTTTTAATCTTTTGACATGGACCAGTTAAGGAAAATCAGTTGACATCACTGGAAAGAGAGCCTTAAAATTAGTCAATTTGTGAAATTTGAAGGTGATACGTCATAAGCAAGCAAAGATATAACTCTGCAAAGTTGCGAAAATTTACAGACTTTTGTATTTACCCCCCAAACATACAAATGTCTTTAAAAATTTGCAACGTTGAGGAGCTATATCTTGGTTAGCTCTCAACAAATCACAGGGCTGTTAACAAGAGCCGGTAGCCGGCCAAAACCGCCAGCTAGTCAGCCAACCTAAGCTGGCTACTTTCATATCCTTTTACCATAACTGCTAACAAAAACTAAGCACCATCGGATAAAATTGTAGAGCATCTGCTTCCCAGTTTTGAATGACATCAAACAGATATTTCAACTGGTTTAGATCTGTGAAACGTTTGAACCTTGCGATGTCTTGGAAGGCCTGGGACATTTTGACGGCATTGTTGCCAGTCTTGTGTGCATTCTGACGAAACAACGTGCCAAACCCCTGCAAATGCCTTTTCTGAGACTCTAATTTTTAAAATGGCCCTAGATGTCTCAGCCCTCAAGAACTTGTGCCCTTGGTGCAAGTTCCACGCTGCCTAGTATTCCTTATCAGCCTGCTACTTAAAAACATTTTGACAGCCCTGAATCACTTTCAAACTTGACAATTTTACTTACATTAAAGGCGCTTTTACCAGTAGTGTAGCTGGACTTTCCCAAACTTGTCAAAAGTTGAAAACAACCGTGGAAAGGTCTGTTAGGAAATGTGGATACTAAATGATGCTTCATCTGTGAATTCCTGGCAATAAATAATTAGAAAGCAGACCCGTAATGTGGCATACAGGGCTTCTGATATTTTGCGGAAAAAAAAGCAAAATTTCGCGGGATTTTCAGGGGCAAATTCGCAGAAAAATCGGCTGATTTCGCGGGAAAAAAGTCAAAATTCGTGGAAAAATCGGCCAATTTCGCGGGAAAAAAGTCAAAATTCGCCGGAAAATCGTTCGATTTCACGGGATTTTATTGGGAAAAAAGTCAAATTTTGAAGGATTTTGGGTTAAATTCTTAGAAAAATCGGCCGATTTCACGGGAAATTTCGGGGGGAAACTTCACTAAGAAACAATCAGTAAAAAACACCTGATTTTGCTGGATTTTTTTTGGGCAAATTTTGCTAAAATCGATCAATTCTGCATCGATATGACCAGCGTTGTTTAACGTTGTTTTTTTAACAGGGATAATCATTTGCTTTTTCAACAACAGTTTGCTCGAGAAATGAGCGAATGCTAAAGCTATTAACATTATGGTTAGTGCCAGTTTTTCGCAACATTAATCTAAGAATGCCTGGTAGTTTTGGGACGTTGTTTACTCGTTGCAGTGACGAAGTTTCAAGATAAATTTGGATGTTTGGGGTGAATAAAACAGGTCTAATGGCCAAGATAAGTATTAAATATGTTTTGCCGACAAGTATTTGGAAATATTTCTGGCGGATTTCACGGTATTTCGCGTTTTTGGGGTAATTTCGCGGGATTTCGCGGAAATACTTGAATTTCGCGGGTCCGCGACCGCGCGAAATATCAGAAGCCCTGGGCATATCATTAAAAAAATATTTTGTAGTTGTAGTGATATTTTTGGTTCAATTCTATAGATGAAGCCCAGGGAGATAAATCTAAAGAAAGTATTAGACAGAAATGCATCCAGTACCTTGAACGAGCTGAGAAGCTTAAACAGTATGTGAAAACCAAAAACAAAAAGAAGCCTGTTGCATCTTCTGGTGGTGGAAAGGAGAGCAACAACAAAGGAGGGTTAGTATCTAGTTTTGTTTTATTTCTGTATTTCTCTTATCATTTTGAGAGGATAAACAAACTTGACCACCATTTACTAATCTCAGCTGAAAGTTGCTTAAAGAATCTCACCCATCAGTTAAAAAACGTATCGTTTCTCAGCTAACAGTTAACATTTTGGCTAATTCTCAGCTATCAGTTGACCCCATCCACACCCTCCTCTTCAGTTGCAGCAACTTTTGGTTTTCTGATCCTCTACATCTCGAGCACCGTGTTCCTAAATCGGCGATCTCTATAGCAGTAAATTAAAGGATTAACTAAAGAATTTACTCGTACTGAGACATTATTTCACTAGCATGTACCATGCGACATTGCTTTTATCCCATCAATCCTAGAGCACCTGCAAAGATGGCGGGTATCATGAATAAGGTCTATTCAATTTTTGTTTTTTTTCGAGCCTTGCATCAAGAGCAGATAAGCTTGTGGAAGCCTAGAGTGTCTTGTAAAAGGGAAAAAGGTAACAGAGCAAAAGCTGGCCTTGCCATATTCCAAGAAGAAAAAAGCAGACTCGAATTGTCTAAAGCTTAGCTTAGCCTATACAGCACTTCGCTAACTTAAAAGTTTTGCTTTTTTATGAAAAGGAACAAAGAGGATAGTAGTGATGATGAAGATAATGCTGAAACAAAGAAGCTTAGGGGACAGTTAAACAGTAAGTAATGAAACCCTGCTTTCCCTAAAAAGTGGAAAACTCCCTACCAGTGTAGGTCAGTTATTTAATGAAGTCTAACTTACAGTGTAAGCTGTTGTTTAAAAAATCATTGGACCTCCATATGTCCTCCTCAGTAGGTAAATTGAATAAAACGAGTGCTTTTCTAGTATATTTATGTTTTTTTGTTTTTTAAAATCAGGATTATTGTTTTAAGTTAAGATGCACTTTTTGTTTGAGTGTCAATGTATTTAGCTCAAAAGTACCAATTGAGGGCACTATTGTTATGTCTCCTACTGGAAAGGACTGCCATTTTACATGTATGTGGTCATCTGAGCCATGCAAAGATCTAGCCATTTGCAGAGCAAAGGAGGTACCTTCATTTTTTAGTTATTTTAAGACCCTGAGTATTGGTCTGCTCGTGGAGATTAAACCCACAACGGCCCACTCCGCAGTCAACTTCTGTACTGACTGAGCTAATCCTGCCCACAAGTGTCTGCATTTTCGATTGACAAGCCAGTGACGGTGTATGTATTTAAATCTCAGGTGCAATTGTAGTGGAGAAACCAAATGTACAATGGTCAGATGTTGCTGGGTTAGAATCAGCCAAAGAAGCCTTAAAAGAAGCTGTTATTCTGCCAATCAAGTTTCCTCACTTGTTTACAGGTAATTGATAGTCATCTTGGCTGAATATTGAATCTCAATCCAAAACAGTCATGCTCCAACCCTTTCATTTTTTGACCTGAAGTGAAAATGATGTGAACTGTGGAAATACAAATCTCAATGAGGATATGCCGTCCCAGTGGTAATACCAATCTGCACATTGCGAAATAATATTTTGTGCTTTAGTAGGATTTTGAACCCATGGCTAACTAACTAACAAAATTTTTTTCATGTGAAGATGAAGTAAGCTGTAAGGTTTAAGTTACAAAATGTTGTTCTAATACTACTGGCCCCAGTTGTTCAAATGTAGGATAGTGCTATCCACCAGATAAATCACTATCCTGCAGCAGATAAGTATTGGCAAAACCAATGACACTGTCCGCTGGATGGTGATTAATTTTTTATCCTTTGGATAGTGCTATCCAACGTTTGAACAACCGGTGCCTATGCATTATTTGCTTTGTTTTCAGGAAAACGCAAACCCTGGAGTGGAATTCTGCTTTATGGGGTAGATCTGTCTTTTGTTATTGTTTATTGATACATTGTATATTTTAAAATGTGCAGCAATAAATTAAAGGGTTGAAAATTTTAAGTGATAATGGATATGCTTCAGGTCAGTATATTATAATTGATTCAGGTTAATTCTCAATTTGTCTCCTAGCCATAATTCATGGATAATTATGGCTAGGAAAAAAAAAAGGAAATTGACAATCAACTAAGGTTAAAAAAATTTCACCTGAATGTAATTTTGACCTGAAACAGATACAGGTTGTACTCCTATGCTGAGTGTGGTTTTTGATTGTTTGCTGAAATCTTTTTATTCCAATCTGCTGAACATAAAAATAAAATTGGTTACTAGACCACATGCTTACATAAACTGCAAACAGTTGTTTTTTCTCAAAAATTGGTTTTTCAAGCTGTGAAGGATCAGACATGCAAAGTGCTTAAGGCTCACATACTCGTCTTGCAGTCCGTTTTTACCCTTGCTCCAGACCTATCATTTGGCAGCTCATGCATTCTTGACCTACACAAAAGTATGGACTGTTTTGCAGTCTAGTGCTTACAAGGAGTATTTTACTAAATGTAAAACTGGAGCCAGAAATATTTCATGAGGCATTTGGATTTTAGGTGTCTTTTGCTTCAAGCTTTTTGTGTACTCTGTTCTATTAATCAAAGCTAAGGAAATCATGGTTAATAAGTTATGGAAAAACAATTTCCTTTCTAGCCTCCTGGAACAGGTAAATCATACCTAGCAAAAGCAGTTGCCACAGAAGCAAATAACTCAACTTTTATATCAGTTTCCTCATCTGACCTTGTGTCCAAGTGGCTTGGAGAAAGTGAAAGGTACAGTTAGTCAGCTAACTCTACAATCCCTCTCATTATTTTGGTGACACAGTAGGACCCTGTTATCTCAAACTCTAAAGGGAAATGAAAAACAGTTCACAGAGCTGTCATTAAGGGCCTTAACCTGTAACACCTGTTATGGCTGAGCACACTTGACGTTACGGGTGATCAAAGTGGGAAGCATAAGGTGGCACTATAAATTTTTGTGAGATGTTATTGGTGAAACTTTAGTTGCTATGGCTGCTTAAAAGCTTAATGACAGCCCTGGTTTACGTTAGCAGGTGTTCAAGTTTTTAATAGTGTAGGGAAGGATCACACCCCTCTTCCCAGAATATCAAGTATTTATAGCAATAAAGGTAATCACCTACTGTGTGACTACTGTAAGAGGAGTCACAAAGTTGACTAATCAGATTGCAGGACAATAACAATTTTATACATTCCAAGAAAGTTACGTGGGCCAATCAGTTGCTCATAAAAGAAACAATAAGTTACTTGAAGCACAAAATTGAAATATTGATAGCAAACGTTTTT